GTCCTTGGGGAAGCCAGGCCCCCACCAGCTGCGGTGACTGTGTCCCTCCCAGGGCGACCCTGACATAGAACAAAGGACCTCCCCCCAGGCTCCTGCACCACACCCTGGGGGGCACCTGGGCTCCGGGAGGGAATGAGGTAACAGTCCCAGGGCGGGGCAGAGGGTGGGCCTGGACAGGATGGCAGCTGCTGCGCTGTGGGATAAGGCTGAGGGTCTTGGCTGTGAGGATTCATTGGGAAGGGAAAAGGGAGAGGGAAGCAGGGCTCTGTCTCTTTTACCACCGTCAATCTTTTCTGTTGCTTTCTGAATCTACAAAACACAATGATGTGTTCAATGCCCTCGCATCAGGCGTGTTATTCTCGGCCGCTCTGTGGGTTAACACTGCTCCTTTCTGTGGGTCACATTGCTTACTCCGTTGCCATGTGGAGGTAGACACTGCCAATACTCTCCTTGTGGACTGAATGTTTTTCTAGTCTTAGTAAGTACCCATGTCTTATTCTCTTTGTTGTTGTTTCGTTTTGTTTTGGTTTTGAAGTTTGGTTTGAAGTTACCAGATTGTGAAAGGAAAATATCTTGGGCCCCGCTGAGCTGGGAACCACTCAGGGCAAGTCTGCCTCCCAGTCTATTTAAAGCTGTCCCTGCAGTCACAGAGATAGATCAGAAACTCAAAAGAATGCAACCATCTGTCTCTTACCTACCTGTGACCTGGAAGCCCTAAGTGGGGAGGACTTGCTTTGAGTTGTCTCAGCCTTTCTGGGTGGAACTAATGTCCTTCTTACTTATATTCACTGGTGTCTCATGTCTCCCTGAAGTGCGTCAATCAAGCTGTGCCCGACCACCCTGGGCACATGTCATCAGGACTTCCTGAGGCCGTGTCACAGGCGTGTCCTCAACCCTGGCAAAGGAAACTTGCTAAATTAACTGAGATCTGTCTCAGAGTTCCTGGGTTCACAAGATCAACAGTTGAAATAGGGTAACTCTTTCTTCTGTGCTGTGTAAAACCCTTGTGAATTAGGGTACTTTTTACTTAGTCCATCTACTGGGGGCAGACGCTGTTCCTGACCCCATGAGAGCCCCAGGTGCTGCCCCTCCGATGCGTCTGTGTGGTTCTCTCCTGGTCTTTGGTCATTTCTTCAGATGCACAAGCCAATCAGTTCTCAGGGAAGGACACAGGGGGCCCTCTGTGGGTGTCTCATGTCTGAGAACAAATATTTCGCATATTTCTCCCATACTGAGGCCTCTGTGTTCAGTCCTGATTACCAAATGGAAACCCCTGGGCATCCCAGGGCTGTAGGTCTTCTCTCAGAGCTGCAGGATCAAGTCTAGGCTTGTTTTCACCAGGAGAGAGAGGGCCCTGTTTTCCTGCCTTCTCCTCCGTAGCAAGCTGTGATGTGGGAGGCCTGAGGAGAGGGCAGAGCCCAGAGATATGTGAGAGTCCTGGAGGAGTTGAGTGGCAATGGCAGCATTTGGGAAAATATGATGACTTATAATATGACTGTGCCATGAAACTCACTTAGCAATTATTATTATTCACACGTGTGGACAAATTCAAATACACTGCTTGAAGCAAACTTTAAGAGATATAAACAGAGAAATAGAAAACAATATAAAAATAAGAGAAGACCTTAATACCTCACTTACAACACTGTATAGCAAATCCAGAAAGAAAATTCTTAAGCCTCCGAACTTGAACAACACTATTCAACAAATTCACCTAAAAGACAGTTATGGAACCTTCGAACCAAGAGCCATGTAATACACACTCTTCTCGAGCACACATTGAGCATTGTCCACGGTAAGTTATATGTTACATCATAAGATGAGCATTAACATTTAAAGAAGTAATCCTAACCCTTCTCTAACTCTTTCAAAAATTTGTGAAGGGTCAACCTTCCAAACTATTTCTGAGGCTACCATTACACTATTACCAGTAATATTACCAGTAATAGACAAATGCACCACAATAAAATAAAATTATAGATCAATATCATTGGTAGACACAAATTAACCACTCCAAAAATAGTAAACTAAGTCCTAAAGATTTTACAGAAGGCCACACACCATGACCCACTCAAATTTATTCGGAGTTGCACAGATGATTCAACATCCTCAATCAATCAATTTGGTACACCACATTAAAAAGTAAAGAAAAAGTATTTCAGTAACGTTTCAAGAGACATAGAAAAAACATTTGAAAAAATTCAGGGTTTCATTATAAAACTTCTGAAAGTAGGAAGGCAGTAAAACAACTTGTACATAATAAAATCCATTTTAAAAAGTCACAGCTACTCTGAAAGGTTAGACTATTTTGTTCTAATATCTGAAACAAGGCAAGAATACAGCTTGAGGTATTACACTTCCAGGCCTCAAAATTTATTGCACACTTAGAGTAATAAATCAGAATGGTACTGGCATAAATGCATGCAGGGAGCTGAGACATAAACCCACATATTGATGGCCAGCTGTTTCTCAGCATGAGAACCAGTGATATACAATGTCTAAATTATAATGTCTTCCAAAGAGCATGTTATGAAAACTGGATTTTCACATGCAAAGAATTAAGAATTTTAAGTTAGAATAAACACAAAAATTAACTCTAAATGCATTAAATACTTAAATGTAATAAGCATAACTGTAAAACTCCCACTCCTGAAAACAATAGCAATCTTTTTCCGGATTTTGCATTCAAAACACATATAAAAAAAGCAGAATTGAACAAGTGGGACCAGATTTTACAAAAGATTCTCCAAAGCAACGAAATAATTCCAACTTACAGAATTGGATAGTACACCACGTATCTGAAAAAGTGTTAATATCCAATATATAAATAAAATTTCTATAACTCAGTAGCAAAAATAAAAATAGCCTGTTTTTAAAATAATCAGTTTTACACCTTTAGCAGTATAAGAACCTAGAACTCAGGTTAAACGTTTTTCTCCATGGCTAACGGTCTGTCTTACGGTGTACTTGGCTGGACAATACTTTGTATTGATTTGACAAAACACTAATCCAGGCGGTGTTGTGAATTTTTTAACAGAGGTTATTGAAACCGTAATAGTTGACTCTGTGTTAGGCAGATTATCATTGTTAACCTGCTTGGCCCTGATTCCATCAGAGCAGAGCTGGAGAAGGTCAAACTCTATGGTGACCAAGCAGCTTTAGCTGTTTCTGAGACTTCCAGCCTGCACTTACTGATGGCCGGCCCTGAGGATATTGGATGTTTCCAGCCATCCCCCAAAATCGTGATCCCCTACATCTCACAGGAAAGTGGTGTGTCCATCTGCAGCTTGTCAAACCTACATTTCAGATACAGAAAGACTCTCCAAAATCAAATAATACTTATTTGAAAATGGGCATCGCAAGGGGAGTATGCGTGGGCACATTTAAGGAGGTAAATGAAGACATGTGTTTTAAAGGATAACTGAGGAGGCTTACCTGAGCTGTTTTCAGACAATTATCCTGGGCTAGAAGAATCAATAACAAGGGTGGAATCAGTTTAAGGTTGGACAGGGAGTGGTAGGGTAGACATCCCCACAATATTAATACTTTTATTGTTGTGGTAGCCTTAGCCTTTGTTCAAGGTTGTAGTTGTGCAGATAATTTGTGTGTGTGTGTGTGTGTGTGTGTGTGTGTGAGATTGAGTCTCACTCTATCACTCAGGCTAGAGTGCAGTGGCACAATCTCAGCTCGCTGCAACATCCGCCTCCGGGGTTCAAGCGACTCTCCTGTCTCAGCCTCCCATGTAGCTGGGACTACAGGCATTTGCCACCACTTCAGGCTAATTTTTTTTTTTTGTATTTTTTAGTAGAGATGGGGTTTCACCATCTTGGGCAGACTGGTCTTCAACTCCTGACCTCAGGTGATCTGCCCATCTTGGCCTCCCAAAGTGCTGGGATTACAGGCATGAGCCACTGCGCCCAGTTGTGCAGAGTATTTTTATGGTAGTTCTTGTTATCAGGGATATGTTCATGAGAACCCTCCATTCATGACCTTCTCCAGCTTCACCTGTAAAGATTATAACTCAAGTTGTTCTATTTTGATTCTGACAACTTTCACACCCTCTTCCTCACACCACTAGTGAAGAAAGTTACTGTGTGAAGGTTTTTGAGAACAGGATTAGAAACACAGCCGTATCCCACGTTAACCAAAGAAGCTTGTCCCCTTCAGTCCCCACTGGCAACTTGCATTTCCAGATGAGTCTCCATGCAACACAGTGGAGGGTCCTGAGTGACAAGGAGTGAAGAAAGTCCCACCAGCCTCTCCCGCGTGACTGCGGCAGCCACAGCCTGAGACCCACCTGAGTGCCAGGGAAAGGGCTTGAGGCCTGGAATTCTGTCCACAGGGAAAATATCTTCCTTTTTCAGAAAGCAGGAAAAGCAAATGGAAAAATGAGAACAACAACTAGAAAAGAAAGTAAATGAATTATGAACAAAAGAAGCACCAGATCAGTGTTGATCTGATTTGCATACTTCAGTGTCAGGAGAAGGGTCAGACGTGAAACCTGTGAGGTTCTGCATGACACTGACCCTGGCCCAGCCTCTACCATCTGTGACCAGGATCCGTAAAGACTGTTCTAGTCATGAAGGCTCACTGAGGTCCCTGTCCTGGGTCTGATTGGAGAAGACTCATCAGGAAACCCTGAGCTTACTCAGGATTCTGATCGTGGTGACCATGTTTGAGGACTTTGCATCCCTGTAAGCACCAATCTGCATTTTGTGCCGGTGAGAATAGCTCCTCATATTACAATAATCTCTTTCAAATACTTAGAGAAGACATTGTTAGGCACAGAATTCTAAACTTAGAGAGGTTCCCGGGGGAAACTGTAAGAAGTAGAGGAAGCCCCATATCCTGACAGGAAATCAGCCTCCATCTGCACCTGCCTCTGGGTTGACTCTGATCAGTGGGTCCCGAGCGCCCCCTGACACTGATTTCCCCAGCGTTCCTGCAGGGAGGTTTGTGTCTGGGCTCACACTGACCTCCCCTCACTGTGTCTCCCGCACAGTAATACACGGCCGTGTCCTCAGCTCTCAGGCTGTTCATTTGCAGGGAGAGCGTGTTCTTTGAGTTGTCTCTGGAGATGGTGAATCGGCCCTTCACGGAGTCTGCGTAGTATGTGCTACCACCACTACTAATGTATGAGACCCACTCCAGCCCCTTCCCTGGAGCCTGGCGGACCCAGTTCATGCCATAGCTACTGAAGGTGAATCCAGAGGCTGCACAGGAGAGTCTCAGGGACCCCCCAGGCTGGACCAAGCCTCCTCCAGACTCCACCAGCTGCACCTCACACTGGACACCTGCAAACACAGAGACACCCTGGTCAGAAACTGCCACACAGATCCACTGTTTCTCTCACTCATGTTCACTCCCACTCAATCTCTCTATTTCTCCATGAATCACCTTGTAAAATAGCAACAAGGAAAACCCAGCTCAGCCCAGACTCCATGGTGAGTCCTCTGTGTTCAGTGCTGATCACCGAATGGAACACTGTGGACTTCCAGTGCTGGGCCTCCTCTCCCAGAGCTGTAGGGTCAGGGCTGGGCTGGTTTTCATCAGCAGAGGAAGGGCCCTATTTGCATGTCCCCCACTGTATAGCAAGCTCTGGGGTGGGACATCTGAGGAGAGGCCGGGCTCACTGCAGATAAAGTGACCTGGGGGAGATTGGTAGTAATTTCATCATTCAGGAAAATATAATTTTATATTATGTGATTGTACCTTAGCATTTAGCTCTCATAATCCGACTTTATGTTTACATATTTACACAATATATATAATGCAGCTTTCAATGTTATATTTTACAGAAGATAATTTACATAGAGAACACAGCAGTTGTGCAGTGTGTCTAAGATTACACATCTAAAAAAAATTAATCCTATTATCTGGGCCTGTGCTCTAACTACTGGAGGAGGCGGCTCCCCTGAGACAACTCCAGGGCAGCGTGGACCAGGCCTAGTGAAGACTGCAGGATTCCCCATCTGCTATGACAGCTTTCTGTAATTTACCTAAACATGCAGAGAGAACCACGGTTCATGTGTGTGTATTTTCAGAAGTTAGTCATGTTGCTTCTGTCAATATCAGTTTTTTTCATTGCTCCATTTTAGCAAAACTATTCATTTCTTTCTTTGTTATTGCTTTATTCAAGTATAATAAATAAATAATTCAAATTTATAGTGAATGATTTGAAAAATGTAGACCTATGTTTGCAACAATTCACTCAGCAATTCAATCAAGTCTTGAATAATTAAATTAATCCCTAAATCTTTTCTTATTCCTCTCAAATTTAACTCACATCCCCATTATTCCCAACACCATATTCTCAGAAAAATTTAAATCTTCTTCATGTTAATTTTTAATATTGTCATCTTCTAAAATTTCTACAAGTGAATCATATAAAATTTACTCTTAATTCCTTAGTTTCTTTCACTCAGCACAATTCCTTGAGAATTTAGCCACGTTTTTTATGATTGAGCCATGCCTTGATTTCAAGCTGCATTAGATTCCAGTACATAAATATGTGCCAAACTATTTAATTGTTCACCAGTAACAAAAGGTGATTTGTTTTCTCAGTTAATGGATTTTATAGAGAAAAGCAGCTCCTCAGCAAGGGAATGTAAAAATGAGTAAACTACGATATTATCCTGATCTCATTAACAACAAACATGAAAAACTACAAATAAAGAAAAAACGTTCAACATATCTGAGTTGATACCATAGAGGAAAAAAAAACTCTGAAATCTGAGGAGAGGAGCCTGCAGAGAGAACCACATATTAGTGTACCTGAGGCGGATACCACGGGATGGTATTTAAGATAGGAGCAGGCTGACATGGAAATATTCAGAGAGTTGCTCGAGGACGCATGTGCTCATGCTGTTAGACTGTGAAGTTCCTAGTGCTTGCGGGCTTTTCCTACAGAATTGTTATTAATTATTCTTTCTGCACTTTATGCAAATGATCAGGCCAACCATAAGACTAAAGTTTATTTTGAAAACAACTCAGACCTATAATGATTACATTCTGACAAAAATCAGAACTGGAGAGAGAAAAGTTTTGTTTCAAAACATCATACGCTTGTCTTTAAATTCTGATCTCTTCAATTGCTTTAAGTATGTGCCTCCATTTTAGACTAACTCTGCCTATTCCTGTGAACCAACCAATAATCTCCGGCTGCAGCTCAGAAGAAACAAAGGGATGGGGAATATAAACATCTGCATCAACATTTTAGTTCTGAGCAATTATCCTGCAAATCATGCCAGGTGACGGGAATAAACAGGGTGCCCCTAATCCAGAGGTATCTTTGAGAAAATAAGTGCAAGGGAGCTAACAAAAGCCCAGCCCCATGCCCAAATCTCAGCAGGCGTTAACTACAGCCCAGTTATCTGGGCATGTCAGCAGCCTTGGAATTTTTTTTCAAGCTGTCCCTACCACCTTGTTTGGTTTTGATACATGTGTTCTACTAACCCGGTTTGTCTCTTCTCACCTTCAGGCCATCCAACTCCAAATGGTCATGCTGTGCAGGAAGCATGGTGCCAGCATCTCGGTGAGGACCTCAGAAAGCTTACAATCATGGAGGAAGGCAAACCAGCAGCAAACAAATTACATAATTAGAGCAGGTACAAGAGAAGAGATGGGGAAAGTCCTAGAGTATTTTAAAGAACTAGATTTCACTTGAACTAAGTTAGCACAAACTCAATTGTCACCAAGTGTGCCCCATAAAGTCATTTATGAGGGATCTGCCTTCATGACCCAACACCTCTCACCACACCCCACCTTCAGCATTGGCAATTACATTCATAATGATTTGTAAGCAGAGCCATTTCTGGGAGTCATGGGTTTCCCCTGAGAGGTAGCACTCACTTGCACAAGACTCAATTATATTTTGCAGCTTCCTTGCACAGCACACACAGCACAGAAATATAGGAACCTTCCACTCAATCCACCCTTCCTCTCTCCTTCACTCAGAGGTAGGCTTCCCTCATATACGATCAACTTCCCAGCTTCATTCCACTCCCTCTGCATTTTCTCTCAAAGGGGTGGATGTTCTTCTTCTAAAAATTCAGGGAAACTTCATTCCGTCTTGGAGGTTTCTGCTTAGAAAACCAATAATAACACAAATGTTACTTGAAAGGGGTCCCAATTCAGGGTGAATCCGCAGAGTAAAATGAAAGCGAGTTTATTAGGAAAGTAAAAGAATAAAGAATGGTTACTCCACAGGCAGAGCAGTGGTATGGGCTGCTGGTTGTCCATTTTCATGGTTATTTCTTGATTATATGTTAAACAAAGGACGGATTATTCATGAATCTGCCAGAAGTTTCCAAAGCTGAGTATTTCTCCCCTTTTTTAGACCATCTAGGGAAACTTCCTGATGTTGCCATGGCATTTGTAAACTGTCATGGCACTGGGGGCAGTGTCTTTTAGCTTGTTATTATAATTAGCATAAAATGAGCAGTGAGGACAAACAGAGGTTACTTTTGTCACTGTCTTGGTTTTGGTGGGCTTTGGCCAGCTTCTTTGCTGTAACCTTCATCAGTAAGGTCTTTATGACCCGGATCTTGTGCAGACCTCTTATCTCATCCTGTGATTAAGAACTCCTTAGCTTACAGGGAATGTAGCCCAGCAGGTCTCATTCTTATTTTTCCTAGCCCCTATTCAAGATGAAGTTGTTCTAGTTCCAAAGCCTCTGACACAAACAATGTAGTGAAATATTTATAATATGAGCATCATTATATTGCCAAATATAAAATAAAATATCATAACGGCAACAAAAAATTTTATGTGTCACCTTGACTACACCACTGTCTCATCTACTAAATCACACACTAACCAAGGTGCTGCTCCCATTGCAAAATACAGGGGTTAGTAGAGCCTGCCATTATTCTTTCCTAAGTCACGAAGAGTGTTCTAAATAATCGAGGTGGGGCTGACTCAGTCAGAGCATAAGATGATGGGGCTCCATGGTGGATGGCAGATGCAGGTCTTCCCAGGAATTCCAGCCTGCCTTTCCCGATGACCAGCAGTATTGACCTTAGGCTGCCTAGCCAGACCCTACAATTACTATTATCCAGAGCTCACAGCACCATGGAGTGTCCATCTTCAGCACTCCTCAAAGTCACAGGTGAGAGTCCAAACTCTGTGACAGCGTGAAAAGCTCTACGTCAGTATCCCATTGGAGAAAACTAGTATTATTCCCTTCATGACTAATGTCCGCTTCATTTTCCAAACGTCTCCATTCACAGAAGACAGCAGGAGAGTGCAGGCAAGGGTGAGTGAGAAAGTCCCCTCAGATTACCCAGGTCCTGCAGACCTGAGCCCTGGGATTTTGACTACAGATAACACATACTCAGTTTTCAGGGAAGAGAAGAAGAAAGGGAACTGTGAGAATCAAGTCTACAGGGAAGGAAGATGAATTAGAAGAAAGAGAGTTCACTGAATCAGTCTGAGTCACATGTGCACAGTTTTACAAGATGAGGGGGAATAGCTGTGAAAACCATGCGGTTTTAAGGACGCTGATCCTGGGTGAGCCTCTCTCTTGGCTCCTATCAGAACTCAAAGCCTGTTCTAACCAGAGATTCCCATGGAGGTCTCTGCCCTGGGTCTAACTGGAAAACACTCTCCAGGTTCCCCTGAGCATCCTCAGGACTTTTATCCTGTTGACCACGAAATAATTATTTCTGCCCCCAAAGTGACACTGTGGGTTCTGTGGAGGTGAGGATGTGTCCTACTGTAAAAAACAAAACAAAACAAAGAAATAGGAACAAAAAGGAAGAAGAAAAGTTTTGCGTTTACAGACATGAACCGTTAGTACAGATTGTAAATCTGGAGACGTTCCCTGGGGAAATTTGACAATGAGGCAGCTGCAGACCATGACAGGAAGCCAGGCCTTAGCAGCACCTGCCCCTGCCCTGGAGACAGCCCCGAGCTCAGTGTCCGGGCGCCCCCTGGTGGTCACGGGGACCCCTGCAGGGAGGTTTGTGTCCCGGGCGCCCCCTGGTGGTCACGGGGATCCCTGCAGGGAGGTTTGTGTCCCGGGCGCCCCCTGGTGGTCATGGGGACCCCTGCAGGGAGGTTTGTGTCCCGGGCGCCCCCTGGTGGTCACGGGGACCCCTGCAGGGAGGTTTGTGTCCCGGGCGCCCCCTGGTGGTCACGGGGACCCCTGCAGGGAGGTTTGTGTCTGGGCTCACACTGACCTCCCCTCACTGTGTCCCTAGCACAGTAATACACGGCCGTGTCCTCGGCTCTCAGGCTGCTCATTTGCAGAGACAGCGAGTTCTTGGCGTTGTCTCTGGAGATGGTGAATCGGCCCTTCACGGAGTCAGCGTAGTATATGGTTTTACCAGTGTTACTAATGGATGAGACCCACTCCAGTCCCTTCCCTGGAGCCTGGCGAACCCGGCTCATGGCATAATCACCAAAGGTGAATCCAGAGGCTGCACAGGAGAGTCTCAGGGACCCCCCAGGCTTTACCAAGCCTCCCCCAGACTCCACCAGCTGCACCTCACACTGGACACCTGCAAACAAAGAGACATCCTGGTCAGAAACTGCCACGCAAATCCACTGTTTCTCACACTCATATCCACTCACACTCAATCTCTCTAGTTTTCCCTGAATCACCTTCTAAAATAGCAACAAGGAAAACCCAGCTCAGCCCCAACTCCATGGTGGGTCCTCTG